TTGTTTAGTTAGATTATCAACTGGTAATTCTATGATATGCAGCCAATATTTTTATTATTTGTTTTTTGATGTCAATTAAAAGAGGATATTGCCCCAATTCTGCTCTTGCTGCTAGATTACATGAGGTCCTGTTAATCTGCAAGATTTGCTTACAAAACTTCAAATGAATTTTTTCTATTGTTTTTTTTCCTTATTTGTTGTTGTTGATGAAACTTTGTCCCCATACCTCTGATCTATATAGAAGGATGGGTTTTATAAAAACGTGAAATAAGTGTAAAGAAAGTTTAATATTTTTATTATCCCATAGTATTTTGTTCATAGCAAAAAGTGCTTTTCCAGTTTTCTCTGCTATATTGGCTTTTGCCTCATTGAAATTACCATTTGAACTGAAAATAATCCCTAAATAAATATACTGTTTATTACATTTAATGCATTGGTTGCCAATAGTAAAAAAGTATCTTTTTTGCAGTGGTGATTTATTGAAAATAACAATTTCAGTTTTAGATATGTTTATTTTAAGTTGAGAATTGAGCAATATTGTTTAAGTTCATTCAAAGCTTGTTGAAGTCCATCTGATGTAGTGGAAATGAGAGCCATGTCATCTGCATATATTAATGAATTTACTGGTGTATTATTCAATGTTGGTGGTTCTGTGATCATAAGAATGTAAACAATGGCAGTGGTGTTTTTGTTTACACTTATAGCAAGATAAAAATGACATTGTTTGAAAGTAGAGATTATGGGCTACAAGTACATATATACAAGCCGGTAGGCTGGTTGGCGATCCGCTCCGCTCAAAAACAAGCAACATGTTTTTTGGCTGTTTCCATGGTGACATAAATGTGAAGCTGACGTCGGTTTATAACTAATACGAAGTTCGCAAACACCATTCAGTCTTTAGAAGTCACTTAGTTTAGTACTAGGACCACAGTTACTCTCTCCTAGTAGAGTGACTGTGCTAGGACGTATTCTGCTGTTACATTTATTATTTCCAACCGTTTTGCGATAGCATTTTTTAGAATGAAGCGTTTCCCGTAAATGCTGGAAAGCGAAATAATGAAATAACGAAATGGTAAATATTTACCTAAATTGCAGTGTGTTGACCTTCATAACAATATACTTCATAATGCAAAACACTAGTCACAGTGAGTAATTTAAATATACAACTCCTAATCGAAAAATGTGACCACAGTCCAGAATTTCAGACGGATATTAAGCAACCTAAGAGCATATCAGAAGCATTTACTCTAAAATATAAAAAAAGAACTGCAGTCAAAAGTCAAGAATGCCAGCAAATAAAGGACTCTGTCCCACAATCCTTTGTGCGCGTTATTACGGAC